GAAAAATTCAACACGAAGTTTTCCATACGTTTTCCTTCAAATAGCTATTATTAGGAACCCTTGCATACACACTTTAGATTAGTAAGCATATAAGCATATTATACAATAATATAGTAGTGTAAGCAATATGTGTATTTTTTTTTGCAAGCGACTGCGTCGCCAAAAACAAGAACGTAGAATAAGCAAGAGTTAGTCGTGAATAAGTAGTCGATTCGCATAATACTGTGTTGTTAAAATATACTTATAATAAAATTATTAATAAAATAATTTCTTAAAGTTAAACAGATTTTGTGTAGTGTTTTTGAATACAACCCGTAAGTAAACGAACTCTTTTACAACATACGTATACCTTTTGGCCTTAACCGAAAGAGTATATAACACTATAGAGAAAACTCGAAACGTCATTATATACGTATTATAAAATATAATCAATAAGGCTTGGATTTTAAAGCATAATATATTATGCTTCTTCTTTTTATATATGAAATAAAAATCTAATTTTTATACATAAGTTCGTTTTACGTCATTTTTTAAATTATATTCAGTATAATACGTAAATTTTATAATATGTATATAATGCATAGTTAAATATATTTTTCAATTAATTTTATTGTAGGTGATGGTGACAGTAGTGTCATGAATAAACTGCATTTGGCCAAACCCTATGGAAGTGATTTTGTTATAAAAAAAATTGAATGTTCGAATCATATTTTACGTAATTACGTAAACAAATTAAAAGACATTGCTACAAAAAGAAGAACAAATAGAGGCGTGAATATTCCTGGTAATATTAGGCAAACAATAAAAGACAGAATTTTGCGTCTGAGGTATGCAATCACTGAAGCTGTGAAGTATTGGAAAAATAAAAAGGACATTTCGTTTGAAGAAAAATTGTTGAATTTAAAAAAAGATTTAATGAATGGCCATAGTCATGTTTTTGGTGAGCATACAAACTGTAGTGTTTATTTTTGTAAAGGGACAAAGGATGGTGAAATAAATTTAGTACCAGAAATGAAGTCATTAGGAATTTGGGATGAATTAGTGGCAGCTAAAAGTCACATTTTATTTCACACAGAAAGTTTATTATACAAAGTAAATAATAATGCAGCAGAGTCGTATAACTTCATTTTGGCAAAATTTATCGGTGGTAAACGGGTAAATTTTTCAATGCGTGGATCATATAGTTTACGATGTAATGCCGCGGTGACATCGTACAATGAAGGCCCTAGACGTTTGTACTCATTACATAAAAAAATTGCCAAGCGTAGTCCTGTGGTCCTATTCTCAAATCAATCGAAAACGCTTTTCGATCACCGATCAGTCGAAAATAACATTGGTTTCGATTTTCACCAAAAAGCGTATTCTCAAAGTGTTTTCGACTGATGTTTCGATCGTTGTATTCGATGTCAAACTTCGATTGTCAAAACCCAGTCGAATCCTAAATTTTCGACCGTGATTGATATTATTAAATCAAATCAACATTATAGTTTTATCTGTTATTGAATATTTTTGTAGAAATTTCGTAGGTAGTCACTAGTTAGTAAGTATCTAATTTAATACAATTCAATATACGGATCTCGGGATACTCAGTTAACAATGATAGATGATGATTTGGATATGTTAATGCATTTTAACAATTTACAATTACAAATAGACCAAAATATTTTTGTGAACAATAAGAGAAGATACATGGTGCAAGAGGACCCTTTTATTGGTGAGTCGTAATTTACACTATAAAAGTCGCTTCCTATGTATTAAAAATATTGAATACCTAATTAATTTTATGATATGCTGTCAGAATTATCGGACAGATTATTTATAGGGACCTATCGGTTGTGTAAAAAATCAACTCAAGAGCTTATATGTACACTGACACCATACATGATTGAACCAACTACTACTGCTGGACTATCTATTAAAAGAAAGGTAAATTTAGTTATTAGTTAATAAACATTATTAATTATAAATTAACAGTAAAGGTCTGGGAAAAAATGATTTAAAAAATATTATGTATTTAATATAGGTACTTAATTACTTACTTACTTAATTAATTAATTATTATTTTTATTATTAATTATGCATTAACCAAAATATTATTATCATCATTATTTATTTATATGTAGCTGAAAGTAAAATTTAAAAAAAAGTTGAGAGTAAATCCATAACAATTTTTTATGAATCATGGACGTAACGTCTAATTTTACTAATTTCGTCAAAATCATGAAAATTTGCTAATTATTTCTTGGAAAATTAATTACAATTTTTCTTCTCATAGGTAAAATTTAATACGAGATTCTTAATAAGTTCTATATCTTAAAAAAATTTATCAAAATAACGAAAATTTACAAATTATTTTGTAGTTAAAAATGAAAGAATTTTCAAATAATATACTCGTGATGTAGGTATTGACTGCACTTAGGTTTTTTGCCAGTGGAAGCTACCAACAAGATATTGGAGAACACAGAGGTGCTGCAGTTAGCCAATCATCTGTAAGTAGATGCATAACAGAGGTAGCAGTCGCATTAAACAACCCAATGTTATTTAACAAATATGTACAATTTCCAACAACAATAGAAGATCTTAATAAAGTTCGATTAGGGTAAAAAACCAAGACAGTTTATTTTAAATTGTATTTAACATTAATGAAATTTACTAAAAAATTTTACATTTTTAATTAATTATTCAAGATTCTATGAAAAATATGGAATACCTGGTGTAATTGGTGTGATAGACTGCACTCACATAGCAATAGTTCCACCTAATACAGACGACCCATTTTATCCAGAACATATATATATAAATAGAAAAGGATACCATAGTATTAATACTCAATTAGTTAGTACATTTAACAATAATTAAGTTGAAATTCGAAACACATACCATTAAAGTTTTCATTTGTGTATTTTAATACATTTTTTTGATTTCTTTACGTTGTATATTAAACATAATATGCAACATTTAAATGTATAAAATACTAATAAGTAATAATAAATTCTAGATATGTGATTCAGATTTAAAAATTTTAAATGTATGTGCTAAATTTCCCAGCAGTGCACATGATGTCATATATGGCGATTAAGTCAAGTACAAAGTGTTTTAGAACATCTCCATTCAATCGGACAAACTTCATATTTTTTATTAGGTATAATAAGGTAAATTAAATTATTTACAATTTAGGTATTTACAAATATGTTTTTTTAATTAGGTGATTCAGGTTATGGACTCAGACCATGGATACAGATACCATTGTATAATCCAGAACCAAATACTCCTGCAGAGAGATACAACAAATGGCTATGTAAAACAAGATCTATCATAGAACGTTGTAATGGAGTACTCAAAATGCGTTTTAGGTACTTATTTATTTTTTTTAACTTAGTAAAAATTATAGTAATATAATTAGTTAATTAATAATTAATTTAATTTAATACAGATGTTTACTTAAGCACAGAGTACTTCATTATCATCCTGAAAAAGCAGCAATTATAATTAACGCATGCACAATACTACATAATATTTGTATAACTAATAAAGTACCTATTATTAATAATGATAATGAAGTTGAAGCAGAAGATCTAGATGTAATTCCTGAAATAGTACCTATAAATGATAGAGAAAATAGAATAAACCCAGATCTTACTGCAGGAAGAAATTTTTAACAACATTTGATTCAAATGTATTTCATATAATAGTCATTTAGTTTTAGGTACATATAATTAAAAATGTTGTTATATTTTGAATTAATAAAAAAAAAAATTTGTACTTGAATACATTTTATTTATGACACTACTAATCATTTAGTTAACAAAATTAAAAAAAAAGTAAAAATGTAATTTAAACACTAAAACAATAAAATATAATATAAACATAAATTAACTCTTAAAGTTCCTTTAAAAACAAATAAATTGATTACAGTTAGTAACATTGCAAATTTAAGAATAATTATTTATATTTAATAGGATTTAGTACATAATATTTAATATTAATACTTCCTTAGAGGATGATGTATCATAAGGATAACATTTTATATATTTAATAATAGAATATTTATTTGTCACACTACTGTACCTACTAATTGTTTAGTTAACTAAATTAAAAAAGTAAAAATGTAATTTAAACATTAAAACAATAAAATATAATATAATCATAAATTAACTCTTAAAGTTCCTTTAAATAAAAATGTATTTATCACAGTTAGTAATATTGCAAATTTAAGTGTAGTTATTTATATTTAATAAGAATTATAACATATTTATACTTCCTTAAAGGATGCAGCCTTCAAAAGCATAACTTTTTGTTCTTTAGCAATAGCAATCCTTTCTAAAAGAATTAGTTTCTTAGCATAGTATTCTTTTAGTATAATATTTCTGTCTTTACTTAGTGAACTCACATCATTGGACATCTCTATTGACCTTTGAAGAATATTTTGTTTACTAAAACAATTTTTTTTTTTTTTAAATTTACTTATTTAGAAATGAATTTAATTATCAATTGTTGAATTGGTCGATTTAAATTACCTCATTTTATTAATTGGAGGTTGGGTTTTTACTGTACTACTTCTATTAATTGTGTCAGTTTTATTTGATGCCAATTCTTCTATATGTCTAAAATAATTTTGTTTTTTGTTTAATAAAATAATACTAAAAAATGCAACTTAAATTTTTATTAATCACCTTTCAATGGTTACATTGTTTATGTCTGTTTCAGGAAAACCATACATATTTGTAATGTTTCCTTCATTATTATAATTAGGAATTATGGTAGACTCTGAAGTTAAATTTGGTGTATGTAATGTAGTAACCATATCATGATTATTCGGGAATGTCATTGAAACTTCTGAATTAAACTCCATGTTCGATATATTTTTTACAGGCCTATGATAAAAATAAGATACCTACCATATTATAGAACATTTTAGTAGGTATCTAGAACTAACATTTAAACAAAAGTAATCTACATTTACTCAATTCCGTATTAAAATATAAATTGCATAACTGGACTTACTGATCGATATTTTCTGAACCAATAACTACACAATTATAGCCTTCAAAATTGACAGTTGGCTCAGCTGTTTGTGATTGTCCAAAGATTGAAACATCACCAATGATGCTTGAAATTTTTTTATCTAATGGCTCTAAACTAAATAGATTATTTGTTTCTCCTCCACCAGTTTTCATTTGACTTTTTTTTAATTGGACGTTTTTAGTCTTTGTATTGGACTTCATATCTATCCAACACTGTCATTATTTTGATTAGAATAAAAAATAAAACAAAATGCAGCATAAAAATAATACATTTTTAAATTAAACATACTTTTCTCCATTTTTCTGCATTTTTATTCGCACCAATCATAGTATTAAGTTCCAAACTAATATCATTCCAAAGATAATTTGCCTGTTTATGAGTAAAATTTGGACTAAATTTCCCTTTTTGAAGTTCAGGGTGAGCTTCCATAAATTCAACCAACGCGATTTTTTGTTCTGCTGATACTGATTTCCCTTTATATTTTTTGTTTACGTTATTCATGATTTAAAACCATGTATAAAGGAAGCAAAAAATAATTTTTAAAAATGGATCTACACAGGCTACACTTAAATATTATTTTTAAAAATTGAAATGTCAACAACACAGACTAAAATAGATTCTATATTATCAACCGTAAATAGCGTAATTGCGTAAACAACTATTATCAGCTGAATAAATTATTATCTCATGGAATAATTGGCAATTATGAGTTAACTTTTCGATAGTCGAAAACTCGATCGAAAATTATATATTCGATATTAACATATTCGATTAGCTTTTGAGAATAGCATAGATCGAAAAATAACGATCGAATCAATTATTTCGATCGAAAGTTGACAATCGAATAATTTTTTTCGACAACCAATTTCGATTGATTTGAGAATAGGCCCCCTGGAATATTTACTAAAAAGTACATATCAAAGTCTATTTTAAAAAGTGAATCCAGAAGTAAACAACGTCTCTTTCATCCACCTGTCTATAATAAAACAGTACATGGACCAGATGAACATTATGGAGCTACGGCGGATTTAACTACTTCTCCAGATATGTCTAAAGAAGAATTTGAAATTAAAAAAGATATTTTTTTATCTCGTTTGAAACTAACCGGAGAACGAATAGAGCAAATTGAAAAAGGTATATGATTAAACCTTATATATTTTTTTAAATGAATTTTTTTTTTAAATAAAATTATTTTATAATATTAATTTTAATTTTAGATACACGGCGACAAAATGAATGCACGGAGTGGCATCTGTACAGGAAAAAAAGATTAACAGCTTCTTATTTCGATAAAATATGCAAACTTAGAGTTACAACATCACGAGCTAAAACTGTTTCGAATATTTTGTACGGTTCGTTTAGTGGAAATAATGCAACAAAATATGGAACACAAAACGAAGAAAACGCTAAATCTGCATTATCTGGAATTTTAAATAAAACTATTGTACCGTCAGGATTAATTATTGATAAAGATTTGCCGTTTTTAGCTGCTTCTCCAGATGGTCTGATTGATGGAGATTCTCTGGTTGAAATCAAGTGTCCAATAACTTCTAAAGATCTAACTCCCGAAGAAGGTATATCAAGAAAAAAAATTACAAGTTGTGAAATTGTGAATGGGAAGCTTCGATTGAAACGTACGGATACGTTTTATTACCAAGTACAAGGTCAACTTCATATTTCAAAGAGAAAATTTTGTTATTTTTGTATTTGGACACCTCGAGGTATGCTGCATGAAAAAATTAAAAGAGACGACAATTTTTGGTCAGAAAAAATGTTACATCAATTAACTAACTTCTACTATCACTGTTTATTGCCAGAAATGGTTGATTCTCGATTTGATAGAAATTTACCTATTAGGGATGGACTTGCATCAGAAAACGAAGAAAGCTCCTAGTTGGTAAATTATTACATTTTTAACTTTACGTATTGTATTTGTATATTATAAATTATAATAATGAACAAAAGGCATATTATTATTTTTTATTTCAAATTGTATTGCACCGAGCTGAAATTATAGCCAACTATTGTTTTAATGTATCTAAACTAAGAGGTATACTTAGGTGCAATAAAACTGAAAATCTGATTTCACAGAAAAACGATAAAAAAAATTTGATGTGAAAATAAGCTAAACGCGTAGTTAGTAGGTATAATAAACTTAATAATTGGTGACTGAATAGTGTAGAATGCATAATATATTATAGAACTACGTAATATATTTATAATAAACATCAAATTATGACACAGAATTGAAAAAAAATAAAAAAAAGTAGAGAAATGTATTTTAGGTTGAATTTTAATCATCTACGTAAACATTAACGAAACTGTATGGACTACAATATTCCAATTATTACTTTTATAAAACTTTTTTCCAAGCCACAGCATTACAGCAACATACATAGGTAATTTGATGTGAGTATTATTAGAGATGACACGTAACTGAAATACTGAGTAGTCTCCCATCTAAGAACTATAAACAAATCATATTTGCAAAAGCATTTGCCTCGTAATGTGTCACCCGCCAGTAGTTAATAATAATAAAGATCATTGCCCTTCATTATACATTAAATTGATTGTAGTTTGATTTTGTTAGATAAGATAAAATTAAAAATAGCACTCCGTAATAATACAGTACGCGCCACGAGTAGGGTGCAGTTGTCCGAAAAATGGCCGTGTAAAATCTGTTGCCAACATAAAATTTTCAAAAAATATATATTAAAATATTTTTTTTATTTGTGAGGTAATGCTGTTTTACTAAATGATAATTATTATATTATTTGATAATAATTATATTTTTTTTATTCTATACCGCAGTTTATTACTCTTACCGTGGGACAGACTCATTAAGATAATAGACAATAATAGTAGTAAATAATTTATAAACTAATATATATAAATAATAGTAGATTAGCAGATTTAGGTTCAATAATTTAAATCTAAATTCAATAATATGACAAATAGTCAAATTTACAAGAAAAATTTCCAAAATCTAAATTCCAAGTACAATATACAATTTTAAGTTTGAACATTTACATTCCCAATAATATTATTACTCAAACTTTTTATAGCTAACGTTAACAAGTTTAAGTTTCTTTCAATGCTCAATGCTTTATAAATCTGACTTCATATTTTATTTTAATAGGTAGATAGTATTGTATTATTTGTATTCTGCAGCTAGAAACTAAATTAATTATTTTCAGAATTGATCATAAGCAAAAGTATTTGTGTAATATTTTTTAGTATTACAATTTAAAATAATCTTCAACTCCTAAAATATATACATTGATCTTAACAATAAAAAATGAATTAATATATTAATAAATAATTAGTAATTTGATTATAAATTAAAATGAATATAGTTTTTTTATATGTACCTATTTGAAAAAAATTCCAAATAGCTGATCCATAAAATTGATCCTAAAATGAAATTATTCTCAATATTATCATCTAAATTTATTTAATATGTTATTAATGCCCTTTTTAATATGAAGTAAACACAAATATAAATTCAAAATATTATACTCGATGATGACTGATTTTAAGAAACAGCTTTTACTTTTTTAAAGAAGTCACTTTTTCATAATTTATATGAATTTTGAAAATACTTTAAACTTAAAGGAAAAAACCCGAAAATGTTAAAATTTATAACACAAAATACAACTAAATCATTTTCTAATTCATATACATTTCAATTTTCAGTCCATAAAAAATGTCACACTGAAGATTTTAATAAAAAGTCTTTTATAGCACACCTATTTGTAGTAAAATATTTTCGTACAATTTTCATTAAAATTCATATTAGTAAAAGTATTTGTAGGATATACTCCAGCATTAAAATTTAAAATAATGACATATATAGCATTAAATTTGTACAAAAAATATGCTTTAGAAGAAATTGAAATAAGCCCTTACATTAACATCGCAAATAATAACATAATTACACATTTATTGAGTACCTATGATTGATGATAATGATGTTTAAATTTTTAGTAATTAATAGTTATTTATGTTAAATTTGTTTCAAATGCAAAATGTTAATAGTTGTCCATGCATCGCTTATGTTAATATTTAAGAAAAAAAATTGTATTTCAATGACGTATTCGTTTTGATTTTAACCATTTTTTTTAGGCTACTGGTATACAAAAGCACAATTAATTATAAATAGGTTAGTAGCATTGTATTGTTTCATTAGACATCACAGTAAATTAGTTAGAGCATATTTGAATTATAAATAGAACAGATGAGAGTAAAATAAAAATATATTTCAATAAATTAAACCACGAACAAATAAATCATAACAATAATTAATATTTTATTTCATCTGCCATAGGTATTTATTGGCTATAATATTATCAAACACCAATTATGGCTAAGCTAAAAATGTTCTTGGACTAGGACTAGGTATTAGTTCATTTTTAATATTTGTATATGCGTATTAATTTGAATAATATTTTATTATTTTTGATGATTTATTAATGATGCATAATTTCCTAAAAAAAGAACTAAATCTTTGTCCTTTAAATATCTTAATCTTATTTATTATTATCAATTTATCATAAATTTAAATTCCCTATTAAATAATCCTATAATAAAAATGATGTGTTCTACCTAACACACATATTCATGAGATTTCGATTTTAGTCAATGTATAATATTAAAACAGTTGATTTTTTAGTCATAATAAGAATAAATAATTGTTTTGTAATTGTATTACAATGTCAATAATAATTTTTTTTTTTATTATTTATAACATTTATGATTTATTAGAATATATACAATCTGTAATAATAGTTACAATAAGCATTTGAGCGGTAAAAAATATATAAAAAATTTACTGTGAAAGTATGAAGAGAGTAAAGCTATCCAGCAGTAACACTCGACGTGATATTTGTTAAGCTATTTTACATACATGCATATGTTATCATTTTTAGATACATATAAAATAGTATGTAAAAAAGAAATAAAAATATATGTATAATATTAATATTTCATTGTCATATTTTTAAATTGAGATATGTTATTTTAATTTAACGGTTTTAGATTTTGAAGATTTTGTTCCAAAGGAAACATTACAGGAAAACATTGAATGGTTAAATTCAGAGTATTTTGTTTATGTATTCGACGAACGACGATAATTCCACTCACATAGGTTTCTTTAAAATATTTAAATAACTCTTTGGCATCAAGAGGAATATTAAATTTTAAATAATCAAAATCTTTTTTTAACTTACTAGTGGTAAAAAAGTAAATCCGTCTAACATACCTACCACAAAATTCATTAAAAACCTAATCTTCTTCTTATTTGTTTTTTAATTTAATTCTGCTAATTTTTTATGAGTACTTTGGCGTAGATGATAGAAATATCCATTTATTAATTAGATTGTTCTTTTCCCAGCACATGAATAGCATTAAATATTATTTCGTAAATACTTTGATTTTTTTTCCAAGTAAACAGTAAAGAATAGTAAAGAATTCACTATATTGTTCAATTTTTATAATGTTAA